CACCAAGTTTCTCTGAACCTGTAAACAGATGCTTGGAACAGATAAATGGATACTTTCTGCAGCTGAACAGAAACAAAACTGAAGTTACTATCTTTGGACCTAAAGAGAAACCATCTGTAGTCAACACACAGCTTCAGTTGCAGTATGAAACTAGCAGTCAGGCTGAAATCTGGGTGTAGAGATGGACTCTGACCTGAACCTTCAGAGCCACATAAAGACAAAGTCCTTCTTTCACCTGAAGAACATTTCCAGGATTAAAGGACTGTCACGTAAAGATCTAGATAAACCCATCCATGTGTTTATCTTTAGTCACTGATTACTGTAACTGTCTTCACAGGTCTGCCTAAACAATCCATCAAACAGCTGCAGCTGACCCACAACCAGGAAGATAGAGCACGTCAGTCCAGTTCTAAAGTCCTTACACTGGCTCCTGWAACTCAGGGAACAGACTTTAAAATACTGTTAYTAGTTTATAAATCACTTAACGGCTTAGCACCACAACACATTAAAGATCTGTTGTTGTGTCAACCTACCAGACCTGTCAGGTGTTCTGGTTCTGGTCACCGTCAATCATGACACATTACTGGAGCTACTGGAGAGCTGGGTAGACTCTCCACTCCAGTACTCAACTGGTTTGAATCTTACATAAAGAACATCCCCAGAACCAGAACCAAACATGAAACAGCATTCAGCTTCTGTGCACCACAAGTCTGGAACAAACTCCCAGAAAACTGCAAAACAACCGGAACTCTGATCCTTTAAATCAAGACTGAAACCCACCTGTTCAGAGTCGACTATGAGACATTATAAATGAAACATCAAACAACATGTTGTGTAACGATGACACCTGAAAAACTGTAATGATTCAGTTGTTAACTGTGTTCTATGACCTTTTATTTTTTGTGTTTTTATCATGTAAAGCACTTTGAACTGCCTTGTTGCTGAAATGTGCTGTACAAATAAACTCGATTGATTGATTGATTGATTGATTGATTGATTGATTGATTGATTGATTGATTGATTGATTGATTGATTGATTGATTGATTGATTGATTGATTGATNTTGATTGATTGATTGATTGATTGATTGATTGATTGATTGATTGATTGATTGATTGATTGATTGATTGATTGATTGATTGATTGATTGATTGATTGATGGGGAGGATCTACAGGTTGGAGGAGACTCATTGGAGGGATTCTGGGGCTCCTCCAGGAGAACTTCAGATGGGGGAGGTCTGGACTTCCCTGACCTCTTTGTGTTTTCCTGTCGCTGCACAACGATCATCATTTACCTGAAGACTTCATCTTCATGCCTGACCACCTCTGGCTTTTATTCAGTTCTGACACCATTAAACACGTTTTATATTGTTTTATTCTTTGATCTCCATCTTTAGAGAGCGCGTTAACATTTTTTTTTATCTGACAATAAAAACAGATCCGATGGAGAAGTCTTAAAGTTTGGTGAGTGATTAACGAGGAGATGAAGGTCGCGGGACAGATGTCTCTGAGCTCTTCAGAAGCGAGGAGCGTGTTGTTAAACTGTGCAGGGGCAGAGTTTGTGACGTATGAGCAGAACACAGCCAGGATTGTTTGAAAGCGGTCAGCTGAACGGAGCAGATGAACTGTAAGAACATCAGTTCTGTGAAAACGTGATTTCAAGACGAGTCAGGGTTCAGATTTGACTTTGGAAAACACTTTCAGTTTTCTTTAAAAGTCAACTTACACAAATTATATTTTCAAGGTTTTTTTTCACTGACACTGTTCCTGGACTAAACCCATAAAAAATCCCTCAGGAACTCCAGATGTGACGCTGTCTGCAGCTGAAAGTGGGACAGCAGCCGGACACGTTAGATTTCACCTCTAAAACCAGAGGAACAGTCAAGATCTGGTAAAATATAAACAATGAGAGGAGAAAAGCTCTGTTGATGCATGAAGTCACTTTAATTAAAGGTCAAGCCATTGAGAGACGGCAGTCTTATAAATATCTTGGGACAGTTATAAAAGATAAACTAAACTTTGAAATTAATTTGGACACAGTGTGCAAAAAGGCTCATCAGTGTCTTTTCTGTCTAAGGAAACTGCCATTTTAATATTGACTGAACCATAAATATCATGTTTTTATTGGATCAGTTTTATCCTTTTCCCTGGTGTCATGGTTCGACACCATGATTCGATCTAATGTGGGTTTTTTTTTCAACTTTTTATTTATATTAAAGGGATCCATGATTAGTTGTAACATTAGACTTTGTTTAATAAACATATATTTTAACTGTAAAATAAAGACTGTAAAAATACTGTAGACGGTTCAGTTTTGTTCATTTAAAAAAACATTTTAACACGGACTGAGCTATTTTATTTATATGCAAAGCATTCAGGGTAAATGATGACATTAGACTTTGTTTAATAAACATATATTTTAACTGTAAAATAAAGACTGTAAAAATACTGTAGACGGTTCAGTTTTAATAATGTTTTAACTAAAAGTTTAAAAATATATTTTAACACGGACGGGGCCATTTTATTTCCACACAAAGCATTCTGGGTAAATGATGACGTGGATAGGTCCTCGGTGCGAGGCTGCTAGCGAGCTATATCCACCCTGAAGGTTAATCTTGGACAATATCTGATGATCGACTCTTTTAAATGAAACCAGAGAGCGTTGACAGAGAGGAGAAGGTAGAAATGACTCAGCCTGGAACTGAAAATATGGATGGAGGACAACAGAGCTGCTTCATGGAAGAACAACCTATTGGCATATATTGGCAACAATACCAATTATTTGTCTTTAAATGACCAGACTCGTAGCTTTTTCCACATCTATCTGGTGACTTCTACTGAAAAGCTGATTTTTCTGTGCTCCAATCCGCTTTTAATTAATTTATTAAATTTATCTGAATACAGCAAGCATTTTCAACAAAAGAGTGACCTAAATCCTGATTTTATTGATCAGAATTGACTAAATTGGGTTATTTTTTCCCAAATTGAAACCCAGAAAATTGCAAAATTTCTTTCAGTAAGGGAAACCTGCAAATTAATGAATCTAGATGAATTTACACATCTATTTCCAGCAATAAATCTGACTACTTTATTTAATTAAATTATTCAACGCTTAGTTTATTGTTGAGCAGGTAAAGGAAATATATATTTTTGGCCCTCTGGTTCTTCTGACTTCATGATTTTGGCCCACGTGACAAAATGTTTGGACTGGTTTACGACGTCTCATCTTCTCCAGCCTCGGATTAAAGCCAGGTTTTGTTTTGTTTTTATTCCTCACCTTTATTCCTCAGTTCTGTTTTCCAGCAACGACAGAAGGTGATTAATGAAAGCTAACAAGCCAGCAGGGCAGAATGACTCAGACTCTACTACGCTGAGAAGCATGAGCTTCCATGTGTCACGACATGAACAGATAGAAATGCAGCCAGTCACAGAAACACCCATTGGCTGAAAATAGGTCAAGTTGTGATTGGCGTCATCCTCAGATGTGGCGACACGCTGGATTGTTTCCTTTTCCCTCCCTCTGATCTGCAGCAGCTCTGGGAGGATCACTGTGTCACTTTTTTGTTTTCTATGGACAAAACACACAACATGTGGGTTGAAAACATTAAAAAACGTGCTGAGTGTCTAGTTAAATCTGCTTTTTGCTGGACATAAGTGATGTTTGACACTAACTCTGCATCACGTGCAGGACTGAGCTCATCCTGTTATACAGCATAATTAATTAATATTAATAAAACACCTTTCAGTGTGCACGCTGCACATGGCTGCCCTCTTTTTGTGAAGGCAGCAGTGCAACAAGCAGCTTAACAGTCACTTTTTCTGTTGTTTTCCTAATATAACTAAGCAACAGTCCTAAACTTTGTCCTTGTTTTCAGTTCGTTCGAAGCATCGTCTTAAAATAAATCCTGAGTTGGCGTGTGAACGAAGAACAAGTCAGGAGTTTCGGTCTTTAAACGAAGACATACTCTGAATACTCGCGTCGTGTCGTGAAGCCATGAAAGCCAGCGAGCCATGAAAGTGTTTAAAACAGGTCCAGACGTCGGCTCAAACCAAACAGCAGATATGATTGTTGGGTTTGGTCGAGTAAACACGGGTGACGCAGCAAATCTATTTTACCAAGCTTAGTCATGATACCGCAACAAGAGAACGGGCTGGACTGTGGGGCAGGAAAAGGAGATTTTTTTGTAGGGTTAGTTGTATTTCATGTGGTGCAGAATACTCTCCAATGCATGCAGAGTCTAGTAAAATAAACTAGGAATAAGATGCAAATGCTTTTTTCAAATTTATTTTGTCATTATGATTTCAGAAATGTCTTTTTGAATGTTTTTTTCTTTTCTTTGCAGTGCCTTAAGATTATTTTTGCTGTTTATTAACCCTGCGTAAATAAAATTAATTGAATTATTCATTTTTTTCACACTGACAGTTTATTACTTTCAAGAAACAAAACAAAAAATCTTCTAATGTCATAAATTAATGTTAAAAATATAACTACAAACAAACAACTTAGGCTTCAACTCCAAATTTGAAAATTAAAAAAAAGTCATGAAGCATCTCTACCAAACATTATATGGCATTATATTGTCCCCAAAATTTTAACTTAATCATGTTTTTGGGGAAAAAAATAGATTATTTTAGAGGTTTTCTCTGAATAACAGCAGAGTTTCACAGGTTTTACAAAAATCTCCAGTCTCTATATTTAATCAAATCATAAAGTTTTATTATGTGAGGTTTTATTTGCAATGCAGTGTTTTATTTTAGTCAAAAAATGTGAATAAACACATTTTTCCGACTGCCATTGAAGATGACAGTTGGGTTGTTTTTTTACCTAACGTTTCCTGAACGCACCACGATCTGAGTCCCCGCCCCCTCTGTTTGACGTCACCGGCGCCTGCCTCCTCACATGGGTGGAGGAGTGTAGCGGCTCGGGCTCCCTCCTCCTCCCGCTGAGGCTGAGCCACAGACGGACAAACAGACATCCGCTCGCCGTCCTGCTGCCGCGCGGAGCCCCGTCTTCTCCATCCGAGCCCCGGCGTCGTTTCGCTCCACGAGCCGGCTTTGGTCGCGTCTGCTAGCTTGTCCCTGTTCGGGGGGTCGGGGGAGATTTTTTTATTATTATTATTATTTTTAGTTCGGTTTTGCGAGCTTTTGCTTTCCAGTTGCCTTTCGAGACATATGGAAAAAATGGCCAGACCACTTTCAATAAACCCAACTTTTCTGCCACCGACTCACGGAGTCCTGAAATCCCTGCTGGAAAACCCCCTGAAGCTGCCTTTTCATCACGATGAAGGTGCGTTTAAATGTCCTGAAACTTACCTGCGCGGCGGACTGACAGCTCTGTTTGTGTCGCTCTTCACACGGTCACGGATTTGACAGATTAACCGGAGTGAAGGACAAATGTCGCTCAAAGATAAAAGGGGTGACCCCTCTTTAAATTTTACGATCTTTGTCAAAAATAAAAGAATGTATTTTAATTAGGTGGAGAGCGACAAAGATCGAGAATAATTAAAGATGTTGTTTCTCGAATTAATGTGTTTACTGAAAGTTTGGCGTGAAATTCTGATTTAAACACGTACCTATTGTCTAATTAACTAATGTTTTTTTGTTTAGTCAGTATTGTTGTGACTGCGCTGTTTTTGTTTATTAAAGCTGTTAATAACATCTAATGCCGTCGTTTTCAATGGAACTTATTAACAATACTGGTCATTGTCGATAGAGGGCGTTTTTGTCTGTTTTGGAGCGTCTTTACATTCAATATAAACATATAATTTTAAACCTTTGAAGGTCATTCTATACAAAAACATTTTCTTATTGTTCGTACAGTTTGATTTTATTTGTCTTTTGTTAAAAAATAACAAGTTTAGCCTTTCCACCAGTTGAATAGATGCATTAAGGAAACACTGTTGGCTAAATGAAAACAACGCACTTCTTTTATAACTTTTATTAATAAATTTCTTCACGTTGAATCATTTGAAATGACCCCTCTGGTTGAAAATACTTTCTTTTTTTAATTCGAACTCATGCAGTGACTCGTGATTCCTCTCAGCAGCGACACAATGAGCTGACTGTCTGCACATTTTTCAGGATTTGGGAAGGACAAGGAGAAAGAGAAGAAGCTGGAGGATGAGAGCAGCACGGCCAGCCACCCGCAGTCGGCCTTCCTGGGCCCGACCCTGTGGGACAAGACCCTGCCCTACGACGGGGACGGCTTCCAGCTGGAGTACATGGACCTGGACGAGTTCCTGCTGGAGAACGGCATCCCGGCCAACACCGCGGCTCAGGGCGAGCAGGCCTCGCAGAAGGCGCAGCCACCCCAGGCCCCTCTGCAGCAAGCCCCGCCCCCCGCCCCGCCCACCCCGTCGGTGGTGGACCTCAGCAGCCGCGCCACCACGTCGGTCCACACGGCCATGGCGCCTCAGACCTGCCTGCACAGCCCCACCGCGGCAGGTAGGACGCAGTCCGGCACGCACGTGAGCGTCCACCTGCACGTGCACGTGGGCGCTCCTGTTTCTTTGTCACCTTCTCGGTGTTGGCTCTGCTGCCTGTTACACACACACACACACACACACACACACACACACACACACACACACACACA